GGCTGTCTTATAGGAGAAGCACTAGACATCTCTTTCTGTTGGGGTCTGTAATTGACAATTCTTCCTGTATTTGACATCAAATGCTATGGCATGAGAGGTCCCCCTTCTAGCCTCCAGATTCCATTTTAGTGAGGTTAGAAGACATAGATATGGATGGATATTCCATTACAGATATATAGATATTCCATTATAGATAAATGTATAGTATTATTGGAATACACACACACACACAGAGGTTATTATTCAGCCTTAAAAAGAAAGTAATCTTGGGGCGCCTGGCTGGCTCAGTCGGTAGAGCATGCAACTCTTGATCTTGGGATTCATGTCCCACGTTGGTGTAGAGATTACTTAAAATATAAAATCTTTAAAAAAAAAAAAAGGTAATCTTGTCATTTGAAACAACGGGGATGAACCTGGAGGTCATTATGCTAAGTAAAATAAACCAGACACAGATAGACCAATACTGCATAATCTCACTTGTATGTGGAATCCAAAAAAAAAAAAAAAAAAAATGAAACTCTTAGAAGCAGAGACTAGATGGTTACCAGGGGATGGGGGAATGGGGAGCTGTTGATCAAAGGGTACAAAGTTTTAGATATGCAGGACGAATAAATTACAGAAATCTAATGTACAACATGGTGACTATAGTTAACAGTACCATATGGTACACCTCACATTTGCTAACAGAGTACATCCTCTTGGTTCTCAATGAGAACCAAATGGCTACTATGTGAGATGGTGGATATGTTACTTAGTTTGATTATGGTAATCATTTCACAACGTATGTGTATATCAAAACATCACGCTGTACACTTAAAATACATACAATTTTTATTTGTCAATTATTCCTCAATAAAGCTGGGAAAATAAATAAAGAAACCAGGGAGTGGGGCAGAATTGCACTGTCACCATGCTATCAGATAGTTTTAATTTCCCACGTAGCTCTGCGAGGGAGGGTACTCGGTCTGGTCTGTCCCTCCTGTGACCCTGAACATTCTTTTATGTTCCTGTTGGGGGTGGGGGCAACTTTCAGTCTTTCACCACTAAGTATGATGTTACCCGTGAGTTTTTCACAGATACCCTTTATCAGATTGAGGAAGTTCCCTTCTATTCTTTGTTTGTTGAGAAATTCTATCCTGAAAGGGTGTTGGATTTGTCAAATGCTTTTTCTACATCTATTAAGATAATTATGGGATTTTTGTTCTTTATTCTATTAGTATTGTGTGTTATATTGACTGATTTTCCTATGTTGAACCACCCTTGCATTCCTGGTCACGATATGTAATCCTTTTAGTATGCGGTGGATATGATTTGCTGGTATTTTGTTGAGAATTTTTTTTTTTAAAGATTTTATTTATTTATTTGAGAGAGAGAGAATGAGAGAGAGAGCACCCGAGAGGGGGGAGGGTCAGAGAGAGAAGCGGACTCCCTGTCGAGCAGGGAGCCCGATGCGGGACTCGATCCTGGGACTCCAGGATCATGACCTGAGCCGAAGGCAGTCACTTAACCAACTGAGCCACCCAGGCGCCCTTTTGTTGAGAATTTTTGCACCTGTATTTATAAGTGGTGTCGCCATGTAATTTTATTTTCTTGTGCTCTTTTTCTTGGCTTTGATCTCAGGGTCATACTGGGTTCCTAGTGTAATAACACTCCAACCAGTCTTCAACTTCTGTGCTCCTTGCTTGCTGACCTAAGTCCTTTGATCTGTAGCAGAACTTTCCTTGAGATTTGCAGACCACTGGCCATGAGGAGTGAAGGACCAAAAGACAAGGCCTGACTACATTAAAAAACAGCTGCCAGTGAGGCCAGCAAGTCTGTTCAGGGTCATGTCCACATAGGACTAGCCACCTGGGCACCTGAGTCTCCTCCATATAACCCCCCTCCCTCTTCCCTTACCTTCCCATTTAAAACCCTCTGAAAAAAAGAAAAAAGAAAACCCTATGGCTTCACCTGGACGGGAAAGATGATCTTTGAGATGTTTGTCCACCATCTTCTCAGGTTTCCGGCTTCCTGAATAAAGCTACCTCTCCTTTCCCACCATCACTTGTCTCTCAAGTATTGATTTTCAAGCTGCCAGAAGCAAAACCTGAGTTTGGAACCGGTTCTCTGCCCAGTAACAATAGAATCAGATGGGAAATGTTCCCTCTTCATTTTTTTTTTTTTTTTTTGGAAGAGTTTGTGAAGGCTTAGTGTTAGTTCTTTTTCTTTTTTTTTTTAAGATTTTTTTAAAGATTTTATTTATTTGAGAGCATGAGGGAGCAAGAGGGCACAAGAGGGGGGAAGGGCAGAGAGAGAGAGCATGAAAGGGTAAGGGGGGGCAGAG